ACTGACTACTTGAGATTCGGGGTTTACCCTAGTGTTGGTGTCAGTCCACCATAGTCGGCTATGTGATACACTGATATTCCCATGTAATTCAAAGAATGATTATGGTGAGGATTAACGCTCAAAATTACAATACAATACTACATGCAATTCCATTCCAGTGATCAAAGGAGGATTTTGCCAAATTTAGTTTCAATTATAGTTCGCATAAAAGCAAATCTAAAACAAAAATTAAATTTTTGACTGTAAATTCACTCAGTATAAGGCTTCACCTGCAAAGTGACTCATATATTAATCTATTCTCTATCTAAAAAGAGTAATTAAAAACAGAAATTGAAGATGTTTCAATTTTAGAGGTCTCTTTTCATTTCTTCAAAAAATTTCATATACAAACCGCTGTGTTGTCATTTTACTTATTCTATTTAATTTGGACTTTATTCCTTTTGTCCACGGTAAATTTGTCATCAGCAATTTTGTTGATGTGCTTATAGCGATTCGTTTATGCGCCATCTTAAGAGCATAATTTGTTACGAAAACAACAAACACCCGGGAAGTTCGGAAAAAAGTAAAAGGAATTTATTGTAACAGAACGATGCTATTTCAATTCCATTAGTAATAAAGCGGTATGTTGATTTTCTCCATGAAATTCAGCGGCTTTTTTTTTAAATAAGACTTGATACTTTCAACGATAAATATAATTGAACCCAGGGGCAATAACGAAAACTTTTTTAAAAGAAAAAAATATCAATATCGATAGTAGAACACGTATTGTGTATTTTATTGGGACAACGCAAGGTCCTTCAATGTTTGCGTCGATCGATACTGAGTTATTACTGCGGTTGTAACACGAAATTTAACGTATGATTGATTATTTAGTAATCAAAGACACATATTATAACATAATTACGTTTATATTAATACATATAAAGAAGAAACATTTCTTTTTTTGTTTGTTTATAGTGCATAAACTCAAAACTATTAGACCTACTTTCTATACTAATGTTATAAAAAGGAATGACTTTATTATTTGTTTGAACGAACTAACAATACAGTATAAATAATTGGGTGTATTTTTATTAATGTCAAGCAAATCGAATCGAATGTAGGCAAACAATAAAAATAAACTTCATATTTATACGTAAAATATAAGATCGTGTCGTTTGTCGCGTACGTCAATCATAATATCACAAGTCTAAATTAGAATATTCGTTACTTTGCAATTAAAAACGTTTCGCTGAATAATGACTTCATATGTTATATAGAGGCTGCACGCGATCACGAGAAACGAGAAATATCGTAAAATTAAATATGACTGAATCTTAAATAAAATAAAATATTAGATTAAATATGAAACTTAATCTAAATTTAAATATGAAACTAAATCTAAAAGAAAAAGAAATGTTTAATTCAGGTGTAAACATATTCATTATTTTACTTTAACTTTACAAATCGCACTTTCGAAGCTATGCACGATCATTCGTCTCATTTTTTTAATTTTTAGATAATTTACTGGGGGGAAAAAAATATCAACTCTGTTACCACCATTTATTTATTATTATTTGAACAACTAAAATATTTATTTTCTATTCTTCATCAGAATTAATATTAATTAAGTCTTTACTCTCACGTTTAACATAGTAAATCATAGTATAATTTTATAATTACAAATAATAATTAAAATTATTGATACTCTGTTTCTCAATGTTATATATGAAACAATTTTTACCTTTAATTGTTTAAATTTAATGATATAATGTAATATACATAATTAAATAACTGTTCGTAAATAAAAGAAGTACATATATCTGATATAAGTATTTTAAAAATAGGGACATAAATATAACAGAGTTGTAGGAACAGTAACATGGTTGTAATTTAACAACTAATTTATGAACTCGAAAGCTTCCTTTTTATAATAATTAGAAATTAAACCATAAAAATCATTACGGTCTAACTGATATCTTATTTTTCAAAATATTATCTCCTCGTAAAGAAACTATTTTGTTTTCGGGACATGATTTTAGAATGACCCATAAACATACACATCAAAACAATATTTTAATATAATGGAACATCGAGTGGTCAGTCACAATGGTTAGCACCGATGTAACATCTATATTGTCGATATATTATATCATACTTCTGTTTGTTTGAGAACCATATTTCAATTGATATACGTAACGTAGTAGCAGGTAGCTGTCATCGTAGTCATTCCAATACATATCATAGATACTCTAATATCATCGATCGATTCTATCAAAAATCCGATAGTTTAACATATTATGAAATCAACTACCGAAAGCAACAAGCGTCGCTATTGCAATAACACTACTTTCAAATCGAATCTGGATGTGACAAAGTTGCATTATTCTATCATGAAAATAAATTAACAACGAGTTTTAATCAAAGGAACGGACAGCCGATTAAGACCATTGACCGGTAACAGGAAGCAGTGTAGCCTGCTCCCGTCCAACGAGAGTTATTCGCATTCCCACTCACCGACCCAACCTGCGGTCAAAAGGCAACTTTAAGCTAACGCCTGTATAACCCATTGCGAATTTATCTCACGTGCGTCAATGGTGCTAAACAAAGTAAGGTCAAATAATTAAGGCAAATGAACAAAAACACACATAGACCTTGCTCTAACGGAATATTGGAATTATGTATAGCGATGAAAAAGTGTACCTGAAACATGGTATCAGCTTAAAAGTGCATACTTATATACAAAGCGTACGTGGAAGGATGTAGAAACCGGTGGAATAGCTTTCCCGCTCAAATTCATCATAAATAAAAATGTGTAGCATTTATTACAAAACAGGAATGAGTGTGTCAAGCAAACGAAAAACTTTTGTAAAAACCGTGGCACTCAGTTCTCCCTGCTGACCCCTCAAGCGAACCGATGTGAAGATATAGATAGAAAAATAAATATATGACTCATATCATATATTAATGTATATTAAATAGCAAAACAAACCGCGTAGATGTGCCATAAATAACATTCGAAAATCTCATTGTCTATGAAAAAACATGATTTTCTATTATAAATTTCCTCGTATTTAGAAGGAATATGTGTTAGTATTAAAGAATCGCTATAAAATGTAATTGTAAATTCTAAACTACGCTCATTAGCAAAACTATAACATGACTAGCGTACAAATAAATGAATTTAAAATGACTTGAACAGGGCCAATACTAAATCTCGTTTAATCGGTAATACCTACAACAATCATGTAACTTTGTGCGTATCGATAGTTTCGCATCTTAATGAGTCGTCATCGTAGACGTGTCGGCTCCCCAGCCACCATCTTTGTAGCGAAGCCTTGGCATGGTCCAAAAAACAGACTAGTTGACATTTATAAGCATTGCCACAAGACACCAGGATCTCATTGCAAAAACGAAAATAAAGTATTTAATTATATATTTTTAAGTAGTAATGTATACAAAAATTATTAATTAACTAAAATATTTATTGATGCTCCGCTACGCGTCACGCCATCGTCTGTCTCATTAACTAATACTTATAGCAATTTCGACTCGTTTTCTCCGTAACTTTAACAGATTTTCGTAACTCTATAAATAAACGTGAAAATAGTTTAAATGCACACGCATAAACGTTTTATGGTGAAATCTCGAGTATCACCGACGAGAGTTACCAGATACCTCATAAATAATTTAACGCTCAAATCTAAACCGATAAGATGCTACGTGTTGTGGCTCAGAAAGCTACTTCTGCAATTACCGTACCTACAACTACAACAAAATCTATAGTGCGATCGTCTAATTTAGCAACTTTGTCAAACGACTGTTACGCCAAAATAACTAAAAGCACAATCGTATCCGTTTTGTACCTATGTTTCACACATGATATTTTTTGAACGTAATCATATTATACAAAGTTTAGATCATCCATCAATACTGTCGCAAATGTAACGGATGAAAACTGAACCACACGCGTATAGCTATCGGCAGAACTCGATTTTCCTAAAGATTTAATTTCCTGTCAGCAATTTATTCACCAGCCGTGAAACATAAATACTCCATCAGCACAAATACATTCAATTCGGAAGCCTTCGATGAATACGGCAAAACAAGATAGGACGATGAACTTGCAACCTCAAAAAACCTACCGAAAACTTCCAGTATGCGACGCTCATAAAAGCATAATATATTTCCGCTTCGTTTGCATACGCGCATTTGCTTATCTTAATTATTATTTGGTCAATATTACTTGAAATTATCTTTTTATGGATTTCAGTGTAGTAAAAACGTTCGCTTATTATTCAATGACCTTTTAATAATAAACGTAGAAACGCTGTTTATGGATATTAACGGTTTTCTGAAGTGCTACAATAAATATATCATACCGACATTATTTCATAACAACCATTCGGGATTAAGGCAGCTGCTGTTGAAATTGAAACTAACAAAGTCTGTTTTGTCTTTAATTTGCATCTGTTGGAATTTCAATGAGCCGCCGACAGTGTAGGACTATAATCAAATTCGTCGTCTCGTATTTTTCGTTCGAAGTAGATTTAAGTTTAGGCACCAAGTTAAATATACCAATAAGCAACGCACTAAAATTTAAAAATAAACGACGAAAACTTAAAAATAAATATTTTGTTAAAAACTTGCACGAAGCTTACATTCTCTTCAAATGATTGGTGTAGTAACAAAACTATCGATTAAGCTACAAACGGAACGGAACCGTCTCATATTGCGGTGTATAAATAATTCATCAGTGATAGCCGACGTGAGAGAGTAAACAGTGGATCCCTTGAAAAAGTTCATAATGCGATTTAGAGACGCCAACGCCCCGGAGACTGGGGGAATGTCACGCTGCCAAGTAATTTGTGGGGACCACGAGCCCTTGCATATTCATTCGCAACTTTCCCCTTTCAACACGCTCACCCGACATGCTACTACTTAAATTCATAAAACTCGAGCACCTTTAGTTGACGATTAATTTAGAGGTGCGTTTTTAATTAATACACTTTTGATTGCAGACCTGATCAGAAGAACTGAAAAGTGACAAATGATGTGCGAAAATGTTTACGACGAGACAAACACTTCATGTGCCGATGAAAAAATAACGCGGGTGAGAAGTGACGTTAACAGTTAAGGCGATGTGCTGGTGAGATTCGACCACGACGTCGAACAGTACCGAGTGGGGGGCGCTGGCGACCGCGGCCAGCGATGGTATGGACTTTGCACTCGGGAATGATAGCGCGTGGGGGTGGAACGAGACCGAGGAGAGGGCGACACCGGACCTGTACAACTACTGGGCGTGGAGCATCATTGACGGCGCGCTCATGGTACTCATCGTGAGCGGCAACACGCTCACCATCCTCGCGGTTACGCTGAGCAGGCGGCTTTCCTCGCTCGTCTCCAATCAGTTCGTCCTCAACCTGGCCATATCAGACTTGATGGTGGGCCTCACCCTGCCCTACCATCTCGTTTTCTATTTAGACAGTGAATTCGGAAGAATAAAGTGGTCTTGCCTCATGCGATTCATACTAATAATATTAGCATGTCTGGCGTCTATTTACAACATTATAGCCATAGCTGTAGACAGGTGAGTTGAACTCTTGTAATCTTAAAACACACGCTATTGTAATCACTAAATTAGAAATCACGCCATTTAAGCTATTATGATATAGCTATCGCTGTAAAATAAATTTCTTGTTTCAAACTTTTAGAGCGTGATTTAGCTGTAATCTGGTTTAGTATTTGAAAAAAAAATTTTTTTTATTAATTTTCTAGTTTATGTATGCAAAATCGCAAGCGAAAGCTATCAATATATTTGAAATGTATACATATTCGAAATGTGCTAATTAAGCCTTTTCATCTGATACCCTACACGGAATGATAAAATAATAAATTACATTTTTGTTTCTTACTTTATTATCTCTAGAGGGCGCTTTTAACAATTTATTGTAACGTCACATAGCCTATAGCAGGCGGACAACTAAGACGCTTCTAATGATACCTCATTTGTCCAGTTATGATGAGTAGTTTCAAAGTTAATCAGATACATACATTCATACCGACTAAAATCATAACTCTCCTTTTGGCTTCACCGTAGTCGCGTAAAAAGTAATACACCAATACCGTCATGACGATTGTACCTCAAAGAGGTCAATAAAAATATACTTATTACAAACATAATATGTATTATAATGCCGCCATTTCTAATTCAGAAGTCAATAAACAACGTTACCATGGCTTTAATTAGAATAACACGATGAATTGTAGTAAAAAATCCATCACCGCTCGCTTCTAGAATAGTCAAATATTCATAGGGTTTACAAACTACAGGGAATATGAATGAAAGCAGACAATTACTTAACGTAAAATTATTTTGCGAAAAATATTTACTTAGATCACAGAAACATCGATCATTTCTGAAGCTTCATTGAAACTTATAAGGCTTATTCTTGCAGTAAGACTGTTAAAAGCAATGGACTGAAACATCAATAACTATTATTAGCGTTCATAACAATCCGTCAGAACGATTGCAACCAACATATTTGCTTTTGAGAAAAAAATTTGACAGCTTAAAATTGATATGACTCTTCCGTACACTTAATAAAGGCTGAATATCTATTAAATCTAGTGAGAATATAGTGCAAAAAATAAGATCTATGTATGCAAATGGATATTTTATAGAGAAATTGTTCGAGACAAGAACTTAAAGCATCTAATGGAAGACTTTCTTACAATCGTTCACTATTTAGGTTAAAATGACTGAATGTATAATAACTACGTTAACTTTTAACATAATCAGAGAATACATTTTGAGATTAATTTCTTTTTAGGGATTCGTACATCCAAAAGTAAAAAGTACACATATGCGATCACTCACGTATTTGTCTTTCACAAATAATTTTAATTAATGAAGTTGATGGGGTGTCTGTTCAGGTACATAGCGATAGTGCACCCGCTGCACTACAGCCGTTATATGACTAAGGTGGTGACTCGAGTCCTGATGAGTACCACGTGGTCGGTGGCCGTCTGCATCAGCTGCATACCAATATTCTGGAACGATTGGTACGATGGCATCCCATGCGAGATGAATATGGTAAGACTAAAATTCACCGTACGGTAACTACCTACATAATACTCATAACTATTATACATAAATCCTATTAATCCTATTATCCTATTAATATCATAAATGTGAAAGTTTCTTTGTTTGGATGTTTGGATGTTTGTCCGTCAATCACGCCGAAACTACTGAACGGATTTTGATAAAATTTGGTATACAGATAGGGTATTAGCTGACTTAGATAATAGGATACTTTTTATCTCACTAAACATTTCCCTAGGGTCCACGCGGGCAAAGCCGCTGGCGAAAGCTAGTAAGATAATAACATAACAGTTTAATGATAGGCTGGTGTGGCATTACAAGATGGTATGTACGTAGTAAATCCAAAAATGTCTGTCTTATCTTACTATAGATATTAAATATAAATAAACCATTTATTTAATTGAAATAGTGAGAATAGTAAAATAGGTATGAAAAAAATCAATGCAAGGTGAGTCCCCAAACCTCTTTTCGCTGTTCAAAAACAATAACGAGTAATGTGTTGTAAATTATTTTTTATTTCTCTGTGAAGGCCGATTGAAAAAGGGTTTCAATTCAATTGTTACGGGTAATGAAACGATGGTACTGTACCATGATCCTCTGTCCAAGAAGGAGTCAATTTGAATAGCATCGCCCGGGCTCACCGCGTCCGAAAAAGATATAAGAAAGAAGATGACGCAATCCAAAAATAAGTTATGGCTACAATCTTTTGGGATTCTAAGTTATTTTATTTGTAGATTTTAAAGAACATAACACAAGCGTTACAGGCGATTACCATGCCTTACTATTACATAAACTACGTGATACTATAAAAGAAAAACTTCGGGGAAAATTGTTACACGGTCAGCGGTTATTAAGCGATTAATTAGTAAAGTATTAAGAAGTATTTTGAAGACAAAAATCCAGACTATTTTAATGACGGTATAAAAATTCTAATACAGCGCTGTAAAAGTGTATTGAATTAAAGCGAGAATATATTGAAAAATAAAATTAGTTATTCCGAATTTCCTTTTGTTTTTCTAAACCACGCCGGAAACTTTGGACCTTACTACGTAACTACTCGTCTCGTCTATGCTGATTTAATTTAGATTTTTCACACCAGTCAATCAGTGATATCTTTTATTTATGTCACCACCGACCTTATTAATGAATACATCAGCTTCATGTATAATTCACTAACTGTGGAACGTCCTAATTACTTAACGACAGACTTCCTATACCATGTATAAGATTGAAAAATGTAAATATTATTGAATATTTTAATTGACACCAAAACACACACAAACGCAATATAGTTAAAATTTTCAGTGCTGTGAAAAGATTTGTATATCACATAATGAGACAAAGTTAAGTCCGCTTTTTCTACGGAAACTCAGCGTACAAAACTAGTATGCGAATGATGTTATTTTAGATTCCCAAATAGTAAATGCATGTAAGCAAACGTTCACTGTATCATGTAAAATTTATAACAAAATCAAAGGTGAATACTATATCCACCTTTCTTTAAAGTCTAATATTGAATTTCCAGGTGGTGCCTAAAAGATACACGACTAGTATCCTAGCACCGATGTTCTCGCTCATCTGGATGGTGATGTTCATCCTGTACTGGCGGATATGGCGCGAGGCCACATGCCACGCGCGCCGCATGCGTGCCAACACCTGCTGCCCAACCGGCGGTAATGACTGGAAGAGCATACAGGTAAACTGATTCATATACACAGTTTTTCTTAAATATAATGGTTTTTCACCATATTCTATTTAGACTTGACCTCAGCCCTAAAACCTATGTATTCTGATATGAACGTAATAACTTCCTAATATTCAAATATTCAAATCTTTGATTAGCAATACTTATGTCACAAAAATATAAAAATTCTAAAATATAATTCAAATTTCAAGATTATTGTCAAGCGCAAAAGAATTCATTGAAAATTTGGAGGCTTTTATAGCAGTAATTACGAATGTCTTAACAACGTTAAAGGAACAATTAAGTATGTATATCACAGAACAGATAAAAAGGTAGAACGATTAAGTGGGCGGGGTTGTGCGACCATCCATATGCCCAAAACGGTCATATGAACGTCATGTTACTCAAATTTCCAGTTTATTATTTGCACAATGTCATAGTGGTCTATGGTGCGTCGAAAAATACGAAAATATGCCGAATAGTGCCGTTATTACGAGTCGTTTGCGTAATGAAAATGTAATTCTGAAAAAAGGAGAAATTTCATTTCATCGGTAAGTAACAAATATATGTTATATAACAGTATATCGAGATATAATCACATATTTTTTTCCGTGAGATTGTGTCAGTTGTTAACATAGTGCTTGCAGATATCGATAAAATGCTATCGATAGTACTTAACCCTAATATTATGAATGGCAATCAATTTACATGCAATTATAACATTAAATCTATTAAGATAAATAGTTAACAGAAATTTTTTAGAGATTTGTATGTTTTTGCTACATAATAGTGTTAATTTACTATTAAATTTGTAATTCATTGTGTAATGTGAACAATAAAGAGTTTTGTATTGTATGTTTCAGTTTTCCTAGAAACCCCGTCATAAAAGAAAAGTGGATTGACGCGTGATAGAAATGGTTAATGGTTTCCTTCTAAAACAAGTTACATTTTGTTCAACATATTTTTCTGTAAATGATTTCATTAATATTAATATGATAAATTACCTACAAATTTATAATGAAATATTATGTATTACATCTAATTTTCTGATTATATTGTCAAATTAAATGTTATATTGGGATATTATTGAAATATAGTTTCAATGAGACATCTTTGTTATTATTTTCCATTCTTAATATATCGTGCTTCATATAATACCTAGTTAGTAAAAAAAAATTTGGATCATTAAATATACAAAAAAAATTAGCTAGGTATCAAAAAATAAAACTATGACTATATAATAGAAAAAAGGCTAATTCAAATTATAAAAATCTAGCCCCCAAAGGGCCAAATTATCATCACTGTCACCTGCTCTTGATATGTGACCCCGTTGCAGCCTACTTCTGATTAAAACTGACAAAAATCGCAGTTACATTGCTACTTTAGCAAGATAGGAATTGGTCTAATTGATCGAGCCGTTTCAAGTGAAAGTTGATTACAATTATTGTTACGTGATTACATACATATGGTATTTATTTTCATTGAATTTTTTTAGTGAATATGCGAAATGATAAATTAATAAATTATTTTATTATATTCACCCAATATATCAATGATTTTCTGATTATCGATATCAAATTGTGAATCACAGGGCCCTTCACTATTTCAGTGTTGACAGAAGCGTAAAATTCTTTGCATTATATTTTGAAAAATTGTTTTAATGCAGATACGTCGTGCAATAACATTTTTATGTAATGAAACATGTATTACAAATGTTTACACATTAACTAATTTATATATCTGCGCACAAAATATAATATTTAGAACTAACAAAAGTAATTGTGCAAATTTTTATTATAGCTAGCCATACATTTTGTGTATTACTGCAAAATCACATGTATTAATAGGCTAGTATATACTAATTTTGCTGAAACTTTTGTAGCCAATGGAAGCATCGCTCTCTTTGTGAGCTGAATAGGTGAAGTTTTATGTCTGTGTGATATCTGGCACGCGCGGTCCTAGTACTAATGTTAGTACGTTATCATTCTAACCTTTTTATCTGTTCTGTGATGTATATCAATTAACGTTATTCCATTGTAGCTACTTGTTTTCTGTAAAAGTTAAAACGTAACTCCTAACATTAATATTTCTCGCATTTTAAATAACTATAATTACTCAGTGATAATTGAACAGCTTTTGATTATTGTAACTATTTTTTCAAGGTGGTGTTACTAGTGCTCGGTTCGTTCTCAATATGCTGGATGCCGTTCGTAGTGGTGGGGTGCGCGCAAACTCTACCCATGCGACCTCTCCACAACCCTATCGCCTACCGCGTCACCTCATCTCTCGCCATGTCGAATTCGGGCATCAACCCCCTCATCTATGCCTGGAAGAACGCCGGCTTTCGTGCCGCCTTTGCAAAACTACTTCGGTGTAAAAGACCAGATACGTCAGAATATAGAGGTTCACCTGCGCCAGAGAGGAAAAGAGGGTCGGTGGCTCTCCGTGAAGGCTCCATCACTAGATCCAGCGCCCCGAGCGCTCTGTCCAGCCTCGGTGGACGTCCTGCCAGGATGTTGTACGTGGAACGTGAATCGGATACTTTCAGATGCCGCATAATAGAGAACGCCGGCTTCGTGGACGCGGAAAGTGGTGATTCCAACCCATCGTACGCTCCCGACGGTCCCACGCCGGTCCATCGACCCCCCCGACCGGATGCAGTGTAAATTTTAACGACAAGACGTTTTGTGGGAAACGTGAAACGCTTTTAGCATTTAAAATTTTTAGTGACTAGTAGTACCCCTCGCGTTTAGGTACCTGTTACGAATTACGCTCAAATTTTTAAAGCTTAATTGTTGAATTATTATAGACAGATTTTAATTAGTTTCCGGCGTAATAAAAAAATTAATATAAAAGAGATTACCTATCTGTCAAATAAATCGTGATGTTTAAAAAATATTAATAACTAAAATGTTCTATGTAATATAATATGTCTAATATGAAAAATGATACTTTCATTTCAATTTTCCATTTGGTATTGTTAGTTATTAAAGTGATAAAATATAAAGTTGAATTGAAAACTACGTATAATGGTATGTATGTAGATGACATCAGTCTTTAATTTATTAAATCTACCTATTTAGAAAAATGTGAAAGCTGTCAGCTATCATATTTATAATAACATAGTCAACAATAATAAAACAAGTCATGGACGAATTACATTTTTGATTTCATTACACATACTACTTACCTCTTTCAGACGTTAGCGCTGCAACCACCTGACTCATAGCTACAGTACAGTCCTTGCGATTACTTGGTATAAGGTTTTATTCATTTTAACTATGAATATGTAACATCAATTATTTACGTTTTTTTATTATTAACATATTCATTTAACTATAAGTTTTGGTTGATTTCACTTTTCGATTTAGCTTTGTTGGTCTAAATTAAACTTATTTTGATCATATTTTAGACAAACTTATAATTTCCAAAAGGAAAATAATCAAAACCATTCCTTTAATATTAAAATGTTCTTATAGCTATCGCTATGGCTAGACTACGTAGGGTGAATGGCTTACGTACTGTTTTCGGCACCATTTTCGAGGTCCCGCTCACGATGAACGGTTGGGTTATTCTAAAAAACTAACTTTTGTATATGTAAATCTACTTATTTGAGATATAAGGAAAATATGTGATGCTGTGTAATATATATATATATAATATATACCTATTTATTTGTATTGAAAAGATATTTTACAAAGGACAGAGTTCCGTACAAATGCATCTAAACGAGCTCTGCATCAGACGGGTCATGTATTTTATATTACAAGCACGAATTCTAGCTTTGTTTGTCCATGTATCACAACCCATGATCATGACGTAGCAATGACTCCGTGGAACGTCTGATAGTACAAGGAAAATTTGAAGGTACTTAAACGCGCAGTAGGTCGCCGATGAGACGGGCAGACCAAATAAAAGCGGAAACAAACTGCCCTGTCCATGAATGTACCAGGAAGACGGTGGTCTATAAATACGAAAAATACCCAAAAAAAAAATTTAATTAAAAAATAAGCAGGTACGGCGACTATATATTTTACTAGTAACCGCCAGCGACTTCGTCCGCGTTTTCCATTATTTCTTCGCTCCTAATAGTTGCAGCGTGATGTTATATAGCCTAAAGCCTTCCTCGATAAATGGTATATTCAACACAAAAAGAATTTTTCAATTCGAACCTGTAGTTCCTGAGATTAGCGCGTTCAAACAAACAAAATCTTCGGTTTTATATTATTAGAATAGATGATATGGAGAAGAATGTGATGATAAATTTTATTATAAAATTCTTATTAGTTTACGGAAAACATAATTTATTTCAGAATAAAGAAATTGCAATTTAAATTTGTATAAATCTATCGAAACTCTCCCACACTAAAATATTAATATTAGGCAGTGGCGCCACGTATAGCATACTGTGCAACTTGTCGGATATTTAATCATTCCCTTTTGAAGCTTCACCACACTACATAGTACGCACCCCATCCGATAGATGGCGAAGCGAAAAGTAAAACAAAACATCGCAAAACAATTCCGTATTGAGTATCAAATGAAAGGGCTTAGTTGGCACAACTTTTTTTTACAATTTCGGTTTAGGAGAGACACGTAAATTGACATACGGATAATTGCGCAGGGCCAAATAAAAACTATTTAATGCAATATGCTGTTTGGAAAGTTCTTAAAGGTAAACACAGAACATTTCAGTTGTCATTCTTGCATGTCGTGCACACCAAATTCGCACCAGATTAATATTTCGGGATTTGTATTAAGAAATTCCGACGTCCTGTCGCCAACTCAATAAAAGATGTGTGAAGCCGCAGTAACAGTATATCAGATGTCTGATTATGGTCGTTTTCAAAGACACGTCCGCTATCGATGGTCTAACAAACATCATCACAAGCGAAGGGCTTTCATTTGAAAGACAAAAATATTTGTATAAAAAGATTCGCGAGTTTGTAGCAGATGAATCAAAAGATATTTTATGTCCTATGCCACAAGAACGGGTCGTCTCAGCTCCTGAACTATCAAAAGACCACATAGATTGGAACATTTTCTGAATGCCACCAAACCATGAACAAGGAACTTCTCACGATCAATCTTAATTTCATCTAAAAGGACTTGCTCTTACTGTGGCAAGATAGGTCATAGAAATCCTATTAATATTATAAATGTGAAATTTTCGCTGTTTGGATGTTTGTGCGACAATCACGCCGAAACTACTGAACGGATTTTGGTGAAATGAGGTATACAGATAGAATATTAGCTGACTTAGAACATTTATAAGACCAAATCACATGTTTATTTTACATTCAACAACAAGGACCCCTTTCGAAATTGTATGAACGAATCATTACTAAAATTCACGTTTAAAGTGATAAATAAATTGAATGTTCATTATAAAGATAATTTGATATCAAGTGTATTGCTTAAATTTAGCATCAATATGTTGATTTTGCTGTCAAATACACAGTATTACTAATAGACTTATTCCGTTTATCCACCCTAAAACAGCCATCCTAAGGTGAATACTCGGAAATGCGTGTTTATCTATCCACCCTGAATGGAGTGGATAACAGGAATCCGCATCATAATTTTACTTCCGATTTTCTCCCCCGCCTGTGTAGTCATTTAAAAAAACGTATAAAGCCAGCCCAAGATACTTGGTACCTACCATCAAAAAAATGAAATGATTTATTTTGTTTCATGAAAATGTGATTTTTTTACAAATACACGATAGAAGCTTTTGTGTAGTAGAGAATTTTGTTCCACTGTACTTAGGGTAAAAAATCGGAAGAACATTCAAGTGACTTCCATCTATCCCCCCCTTCAGGGCGGATAGACGAGTTCCGAGTATCCACCTTAAAGTGGATAAACAGAATAAGCCCTAAATTGTGTTTTTTATTTATTTCACTCCCATAGAGTATATTATTTATTTCCTACATCAAATTATACATTATAAAACCAATCTGTTATAAACTATGTTTCAATATGTAGTTTGTAACACTTTTCCACTTAGAAAGTTTTATTATAGGGAACCAGCTTTCAAACTTAGTAAACTGCACATGAATTCAAAACTACATTTAAACAAATTTTCACTCTGTGATTTGAGTTCTCGAGAACTTGTTCAAGGTCACGAGTTCACAATACTGTGTTGAAACCACGTTCAAGCTATTTTGATACTTTTCCCAATTTTTGTATTTATTTTAGTATTTCTATGGTGAGATTCATTATCGATTCCCGAATATTTTAACACGACTGCTCTCGAAAAGGAGTCTATTGTTTTTAGAATTAATGTATGTATGTGAGTATTTTTATTGCACCATAACTTTTGAAAGATATAACGGATATGAATGTATAGGGTATCATTAGAAACATCATCCTAAGTTACCACAAAATACATAGAGTATCAGTGAAACTAGCTTAATTAATTAATATTAAATAGAAATAATTATTTAAAAATTAAAAACACGACTGCTAAGATCGGACAAAAATTAAAAGAAACAAGTTTAGCCAAATCATAGGCTATAAATATAAATAGCGATGACAATATATCAATACAATTATAAATATTAATTAAAAAATATACGTGCCATATTTTTCGTCGACGATTTCAAAATATTTTCGTCATCCATAGGAAACATGGACTGTTTCCTGTTTGGAAAAGTAGTAAATTAGAATTATATTAAACTAGTTGTGCCCGCGGCTTTATGCGAATGGAAAGTAACCTAAGGTTCTTTTCTCATGGCTAGATGCGATGTTATTCGATATCAATGAACGATATCACACGAATCGCATGCACTTATAAAATATATGGAAAAACTCAAGTGTTTGCTCATGAGATTGTACTATCTGTCAATATCGGTCACAAATCTCATGGTCTGCGGTATCACTTTAAATGTATGAAGGTGGTAGAACGCTCGATCTGCTTTTGATTTTCTGTTCAATAATATCGAGGAACGATTCATTTGCTCAAACTTACCATATCATCAAAATATATTGAATTTTACAAAAAAATACGGCAATATCCGTATATAAACAAATAAAAAGCTCGATGGTGCCGGATAGCTCGTTTGATCTGTGATTGAGGAGGTTAAGCGACGATTGCAAAGGCCGGCAATTGGATGGGAGGTCAATTTTTTTAGTATAGCGATTTAGGACGACCTAGTAATCCGTACTGGGCGCGTGCCCAGTACGGATTACTTGGTAGATTAATCATTAATTGAAATATATATGCTTTAGCACCACCAATCCGCACTGGCACCTTTATGTGGGCCCAGTGCGGAATTCTGGATGCATTTAAATCAACGATCAATAATATGTGTTTTAACACTACCAATCCTAATTGGTGAGCTGAATGCTACGAGAAATGCTGGTTGGAATAATTTCATCTATTGAGAATATTTGTGCTTTAGCACCACCACACGTGGGTCCAGTCAGAAATGCTGGGTGGATTGACTTGATGCTGAAGTAGTTAACAAGTTTGATCAGCGATTGTAGAGGATAAGCAACGTTTGCAAAAGTCAGTAATCGGATGGGTGACGAAATTTTTTTACACGTTACTAAACAAGTATGCGTTAAAAAGAGAGTAAATACTCGCCATGCCCCGCTCCGCCCCACCACCACCCCTTCAGTTCAGCTAAATTGCTTTTGCGAACGTCGCTTAATCTTCGCAATAGCAGATCAAGCGCTAGAGCGTTTGATAGTTAGTACTAATGGAAGAACAGAAGAGAGCAAACCCGGCCACTTCCGGCAGTGCCTGTCCCACCCTATTCAGTCAAATAAAAGAAGTTGATCACCCGTCCCATTACTGGCCTTTAGGAACTTCGTTTAATCTTGGTAAATGCCTGTTTCATTCCACCCAGCTCAGCAAAATAAAAAAAAAGATCACCCATCCGACTACCGACCCTTGCAAAAGTCGCTTAATCTTAACAATCGCAGATCAAACGTGCA